ATCAAGAAAACAGTTCAAATAACGAACAAGATAATCGGAGGCTTACTGTCTCTTGGAAGTAAAACAAAAACTCAAAGATTGATCGCGACTTACTAATTAGAATATACCTTAAAGAATAACTAGTCTGAGGGTCAGTTGGTTTTATCGTTACAGTTACCATAGTTACCATGGCTATCGTTTAGAATATCTAGAAAGGTGATTTTTCACCAAGGGATTATGGGGCAGAAATCCATATTGGACTCAGCATAAATAGAATCCCTAGAATTAAGTTCTAAAATCAAGAATAAAGGGAAGATGTTCATATTGTCGACGAGAAAAAGGGAGTTCTTTGCCATCCCTACTGGAATGGAAAACTTGGGAAAACCCTTTACAAAACTTTGTAAAGGGTTTTCAAAGGGTTTTCAAACCCTCAAATTGGTTATGAAATGCTGACATTTAAGTTTTCGGAAATGGATTATAGGTGGCTGGGAAATAACAACTTTAAAGAGTTGCCTGAGGAGCTGTTAGTTGGGCAGGATGGACTAAGATACTTGTGAGTGAAAACCGAGCTTAAATCTTTTGAAATTGAATTGATATATTATCAGTGTCGAAGACCAAAGAGTTAGTTGAAACAGCCACAATACATTATGCAACGATAATTATTTTGCCTTGTGGTGGCCATGTGTTCATATATGCGAAAGTATTGAGACTGGTGGGTCTCATTTGACAGAAGTATATTGCTAGCTGAAGTTGAGTAACCCTGTGGTTGTCACGTAATTTTATTTTTGTTTAAAAATAACATGATGCTTACTTGGAAAATGGTAATATTTCTTTTTTCATATGAAAGGCGGTTGGGTGGCAATCAGTTAAAACAGCTACCACGAAACATTTTTAAGGATTTGTCTCACTTAGAAAAACTGTGAGTTACATTTTGTAAATTATCTTTCAGGCCCCTTTTTGTATTCATTATTAGAATCATTTCCAATCCAATAGCAGATAAAATGGCTAAAGGGGGCAAGTTTCTAAAGAAACTGTGGTTCTGCATCGGTGCAGGATTACATAAAAATTAATAATTTGGTTTTATGAACAAAGTTGAGTATGTAATGTGACCAAAGTAAAGAGTTACTAAGCCGACGTTTCGAGTGTTAGCCCCTCGTCAGAGCGAATTGAGGTATTGTAGGTTGTGTACATACGTTTATAGGCAGCGAGTGGAGCTACACTATCGGTGGGAACATGGCAAAGAGAAAAAGAAAAAGAAAAAGTGTTGAATAAAAGCGTTCGTTGATACCGTGGGGATTAAGAGTGCTAGTTTGAAAAAACAGTAATAGCAGAGAAGTTGCCTTAGAATGAGAAGTTGAGGAATATTCTTAAGATAGCTTTTCTTTATGATTGACATAAAATATCTACTTGAAACGGTCAGCAGAGAATTGTAATCGTATTCTTAAGTACAACTGCAGGTCTCTGCTGATTAGCCAATCAAGCTGGTAACCAATTAAAACTAGTTACCTTTATTTATATTCGACAGGGACTTGTCCTTCAATCAGCTGCAAAAACTGCCACGGGGTGTTCTCAGCAACAATACTAAGCTGAAGGAACTGTAAGTAGGAATACAATTTCAGTATTGTTGATTTTCATGACACCAGTTACCGTGAGTTCCACAAGGAAAACTTTTAGATAAGATTCCTTTATTTCTCTCTAACTCAATTATTTTCAGCTTCAACTTGAGTTAGTTTTAGATACCCTGGTCTTATTAATGTGCTCATTACAGCGTTAAGAGGCATCTATCTTTGATTACCACCAATTGGTGATAATTCTCCATTGTTGAGAGAGCTTATGGACGAATTGCACGATCGTTCAAAATAGATAAACTGTACACCGATCCGTGAAACATTGACCATGCACATTTCAGCACTTTCCTGATGCATGGGGGCAAGGGAGGGCGGGCAGGTCTCTTGATTTAAAACTGTTCGCTTGATACATACTGCATTACAATTTTATTTCTAGGGATCTGTCAAATAACGATATCCAACGTCTGCCGTCAGATGTTTTTAACAATGTTACTCAGCTAAAAAAGCTGTAAGTGGTAGCCATTTGATTTCTAAAAAGTCTCAACACAAATTCAAACAAAACAAAGTTCCTCCTCCTGTNGTAGTCAAATGATACTGAAAATTCGCCTAATGAAAGTAACCGTACTTAAGATCCTTTAAAGTAAAGCTAGTTCATTCTGTCAATTGCGTAGATACATGAGTAACAACAGCCTCTCAACTCTGGCACATGATCAGTTCCAGGGATTGTCTAATCTAACAGACCTGTGAGTACATACATTGATATTCTTACCTCTAGTTTCATACTACTCATCTTCGTACCTTGTTTCAGCTATCGATAAACATTTTTGATATAATGAATCGTAGCCTCAATTTTTTTCAATACATTTCTTCTTTTTTTCAATCTCGAATATCTTTGAGGGAAATCCAAACAGAGAACGAATGAAATAGGTAATAAACCTATTTTAAGTTTAAGTACAATGATTTTTTTTATTCCAATGCGTTAATGATGATCAATGTCTTGTTGTTTCAGAGCTGCTTATGACAACAAAATCCAGGATCTGCCACCAAGAGTTTTTGAAGGCGCCAAAAACTTGAAGTCTATGTAAGTAATTGACGTTTTTATTTTGTTGCTCTAGATACCAGCATCTACGTCTTGTGCAACTACAGATGAAAATCCTCAAAGACAAGGCCTTCTTAAGTAGTTTAACCATTATTTTACTTGAGAAAAATATTCAGGTGAAACGAGAATATCTCTAATATTGTGAGGGCACGTGCCACTACTGCTAAAACCAAAATTCCCCAGCACGCCCGATGCGAATGGGAGTAACACACCGCGTGATAGAACAACTCCGGTAATCTTAGATGAGATTTACTTTCGGTGTCTAAACGATTTCAAACGCATCTTTATCAGAAATAACTTGGTAAAGGGGTGTAAATGGCTTCCGCAGTCCTTTTTTGAAAAAAAAAAACGCCTCATATTACGTATGAACTTCGCCGGGAAAATAAAATGGTACTGATGTCATAATATACTGTTTGTTTATACTGAACTACTCCATAAACATGCCCAGGTGGCCTCTGGGCCCGTGTGTAAAGTTATAAATCCATGCACAAGATACCTGGGTGGGGTGATGGCTAAAGTAAGGCTACAAGACAAATTCTGCACAAAGATCCCAGTTCATGTGATAGGCAGTGAACTATGTTTACAATCTCAGACGAATTCTATTTAAAATTCCTTTTTTCCTTAAAATTCCTTTATTTCATAACTGTACGTTGCCATTGTCAGGCAATACTCAGTACTCGATACTGACTATACATCCTAGACATGTTTTGAACTACGCCTTAATCCTTTAAGGAAGTCTACTAGTATTTTGCCATCAAAGATATATGATCGAAGCATCCGTGTTTCATCGCTCTCTCTCCCAGCAATGTTCTTGTTAACACTAGGGTGTTAGTTTATTTTTTCATCATTTTCTTGTTCACAGGAGCTTTCATCTCAACAACATCCCTAGCGTGTCTAAAATTCTATTTGAAGATGTCGCGCCAAGTATTCGATTCATGTTAGTATACAAAGCATTATATCATTGCTCGGATCAGCATGCAGTTCCTTCAATTTCAGTTTTATTAACTCAGTGTCGGAAAACATTCAATTTTTAACAATACAAGTCCCTTTGACTATTCTAAGAGCCTGGTATCTGTTATATCTAATCAGCAGATGCCTATTAAGTTTTACGACAATGAAATCGCACAAGACTGAGTTCATCACTGTGTTGTTGCGAAAACGAAGAAATGATCTAAGGCAGTGAAAACATATATATAATTTATAAATATTTTTAACTTAATTGCACTCCCCTAATTTTTCAGGTACTTACATTACAACGAAATGCGAGTATTACCTAAGGGTTTCTTCGCGAACATGGAGAAACTGATAACAGTGTAAGTAAGCTAGAATGTTTCGCCACGTCTTGCCAAAGTTTCGAGTGATGCTAAACGTTATCTGATTTTACCCAACTTTACGGTGCTTTAACCTTCGTCTCTTCCTTTTTGATACCTTGTATAATTGTGCCACTCCTAATGACAGCCTGGATATACTAAGGAACAATTGCAGTTAATTAACTATGTTCCCATTTCGAAATTTCAATAAAATGAGTGTTTTTGATGTTATGTACAAATCTTAGGACTGTAGACACCAATCTGATGTGCTGTCATCTGACCAAAGAAGACGCGGATTGCGATTTTGTCTACGTTGACAGCTTCGCAAGCTGTGAAAGTATGTTTCGTAATCCAGCTCCAAGGAAGTGTATTTGGGTGATCGGAATTCTGTCGTTGGTTGGAGCTGTGTTTGTTATCGTCTGGCGGCTGGTATTCAAGGAGAAGAGGAAGAAAAACAAGATTCAATCTATTATGTTGATGCATTTGGCGGGGTCTGATGGACTGATGGGTGTCTATCTCATCATTGTAGGTGTGATGGATGCCATTTGGTCAGGGCAATATTTCTTGAATGACTTTGAGTGGCGATCAAGTTTGTCATGCCAGATAACAGGTGCCGTTGCAGTGTTATCGAGTGAGGTGTCAGTGATGCTGATTGCCATGCTGTCTGCTGACCGGGTTAAAAATATTGTGTTCCCTTATCGTGGCAGGTCACTCTCATGTAAGGTGACCCACATATTGTGCACCGTTATCTGGATCATCAGTTGCATAATTGCATTTCTTCCCACGGTAGGCCTCGATTATTTTGGTAGTCCCCAGAGAGGGCATCATTTCTATGGCAGATCAGTTGTGTGTTTGCCGCTGCAGCTTTCATCAGATAAACC